GACAAGGACCGGCATCCTCTTCCCTATACCCGCCCGCCCGAAATGTAGGGTAAGAAAGAGAAATCCCCCACTTTTTTTTCTTTCTTTCCTTTCCTGCGTTGCGATGGTTTCTCCACTTTTGGAGAGGACAATTAGCGGCCGCATATAGGGTTGGTCTATGTGTACATGGCGAAATGTGAGGCTGATGGTTTGAGAGTGGGTAAGAAAGGTGTGCCCATTTTTGTGTTTTGTGTAACGGGCGATACGGGTTTTACGGGGGCTCGAAAAGTACCTCGTATTCTGAATTTGGAAAATTGGGATAGCGTGTTATGTACGTTGAGGGGCTTTACGGTCTTATTGTGGAGAATGTTTTTTTGGAAGGAAAAAGTAGCTGGGAAGTGTCAGGTGTTGCGTGTTGCCAGGTGAGGCGAGTTTGCGTTGCGTGAATTTTTTTGGGGAGGGGAAATAAGGTGAGTACGTGCGGGTAGGATGAAATGGAGCATGTATAGTACGTCACATGGAGGAGCGCAATAGTTGACTTGGCAATGGGTATGGGTAGTATCATAATTAGCGGGCTTTTGTTAAGATTTTAGAGTGGTACTATACTACACGTGCTTATCTGGATAGACGTAGGAGAATTTTACTATACACATGTCTTGAACACTGACGCACGCCTAGAATGTACCCTTTTCTTGTGCGACGTTTGATGTCATCTATTTTGGTGAGTTGAGTAATTTTGATGTGTCCACATTTGGCATGGCTATGTGGGTAGGATGAGAGAGGGATTTAGAAGCGAGCTACTAGCACATGCTTGATGCATGATTTTGGGGGCTGACTGCCGTTCGGAGGTAATCGAAAACGATAGTTTAATAATCTACTGCAGCAAAATATTGAGGGATGTTAACTGTGAAGAGCACAATCGTCAAGGCGCAAGAGGGAGAAAGGGTCATGGTCGCCTAGGGTTCAAACAGTGCCCAGCAACTGCACACCGTTCAGAGATGTGATAGAACAAGCGTCAGACCGATGTGTCTTGGCTTTGGGATTTACAAGGCTGATTACTGATCTCAAGAAGGATTCGGGGTTGGCGCGATCCCAGGCGATATCGAATGTTCCGCACAAGGGTTTGTGGCCAACCACGGGCGCCACGTCCAGGGTTGCGGAGGCAAAAAGGCTTGACAACCATGGTGTTTTGGCGAGGCGTTGAGAGGAGCAGCGGTTGCGAGAACAAGGGATGCAGAGGAGGATGGCGACAGCAACAGGCTTGAAGGATGCTGCGGGCAAGGAAGGGCTTGGTTGGGGGTGGGGATTGCGTAGCCACACCCCTTTTTATCATCAAACAGGACAAGCCTTTGAACGGCATGGCAGGAGCCCGGTGCGGGGACCAGGGCCCAGCGTCGCCAGGCGTAGTCGACGGTTTCGTGATGTACAACATACATGGAGGCTGAGAGTGGGTGGCTAGGCTGGAGCGGTCGCGGGCCTTATGGTCACCTCACCATGAGGAGCTGCACGTGCTCCTGGAGGCGTCGCCTGCAAGCCTGCGTATTGCGTGTTGCGTATTAGGTCAATGCATGTGTCGATGCAATCCCACGCAAGACCAGCGCCAGATGGCATTATGTATGTATGTATAAACAATCCATAGAGATAGACGAGTGATTTGTGGCTCTGGTTGGGACATGGGCATGGAGCTACTGAGATCTAGGTGTAGAGGCACGGCTCAGTAGGTGCGATTGACGGATTGCGGAAGCGGAAACGGGAGCCGCTCACCGATGAGTACCTGGAGCCATGTGCAGGCCAATTAAGCGCAATCGATCTATTGTTACGGGCGGCGCGACAGATCTGAGGTTTTCTTCTTGCATCTGCGAGTGCATCGGGGCAGGCGGCTGGGGGGAGGGGGCG